CTCCCCTTTAGGAAATTCGCCCCCTCCCCTCTTTAGAAACTTCACCTTTTCTTTACGATTTTCGTCCTCCGTTCAAAATTTCGCCCTTCCAAACAGTTGCATGGGATAATTATTACATGGCTTTAATCATTTGAAATCAGTATCAATTCAAAATTGTTAAGACAGAGCTTGAAATAACAACCGATCACCGATCAATGATCGGCATGGCATTGCTTATGATCGGCAGAAAAGCAGGGTTTCGGTTTCCAACCTGAAAAAAGCAGGGAAAGTCATGATTGCCGCCGATCACCATAATCGGGAACTTTGGGAACATTATTTCAAGCCCTGCATGTAAGAATACAAATTTACAATTACATGTATCGAAAGGGCTTACACAGTTACAGTAGATGAATAGGACTTATGACGCTTCACAGCACACCATGCATATTTTGATTTTCAGTGTCAATCCTTAAACTCATTGTTAAAAAGTAATCACCGTGGTGGTTATTGGAATTACCGGTATTGTTTGCATCCACGTTTTGTCGTTATCGGAAAATGTATATGGCTTATAAGTTGTCACTATTTTTTACTTGCATTATTTCAATATAGTTTGTAAATCTCAGAAGCAAAGGGTAGAACTTGCCAATAGGCAATACTCCAATAATATACGTTTCAAAAAAGACAAAAAAGCTTTTAGTTTTGCAGAGTTACATTCTCAAATGTTTAAGGCACTAACAAAATCAAAGTATCATGAAATTATTTGAATAAACCACACCACATATATATCATGCAATTTTCTTTGTGGAAGTCAAGAATCAAGATTACATCACTGACACTGACATGCCAAGTTGACGATCAGTGGCGTGCTGGCAGGGGGGCGGGGGCCACGCCCCCCTCCAGCTGGCAATTATTGGGGGGGGGGCAAAAATGAAAAGGGGGCGTCGTCCCGTGCGAAATTTTGAAAGTGGGTGGGAAAAACGCATTTGAAAAAATATAGTTACTTCCGTCAAGAAGTATATATTTATATAGGCTTATAAACAGATCGAGACTAAACGCATAGACGACAAAGTGATATATTAAATTACAGACCGCCGCTATTTGGTCTAACCGTATTTGCTAATTTGCTACTTCACGGCTCACACAAAATCGTTCATATAGAAACATGATCAGTGATCACACACAATGTCTCATTACCGGAATATTGGTCAGGTTTCGAAGCGATCACGGGAATTATGTCTTTTTTTGCTGGTATTATGCCCTTACATTATGAAGGTATTATGCTTCACGAATCACGAGAGCGGCGCAAATTAGATAGTTATGATAATGTAGGTTTTGTACGCAATTTAGTTGTTTGTGCAAGAAACATCATGACTCATGAGTAATGTAAGTGATAATATAATGCTGCATGAAACGCGCCCTTTTGGCAGTCAAACATATTCAGCGTCTGGTTAGCCTGTGATTCAACCGCTTCAGCGTTTTGTTTATATAAATCGTGTTATGATCAAATATATTCGTATCACAATCTTTATTTGACTATAACGCTGTACGTTTTTTTGAAATCAACGATGTATAAACCGACGCATGTAAGAAATGCATGTTGAACCGAAGCAAATACTTGTCTATACAAAATGTACAAAGACAATACAAAGACTTAAATTGGACCAAATTGTTTTGTGATGTATTGTATTTCCCTTATTCATGCTGTATCTCAAGCGAAATGTCAAAAATCTTATTTACTCAATACTTTAGTCCTTCAAGAACTAATTATAAATTTGTCACTCCACTCTCGTTCCACCAAAATAATAGTTATTCCCACAAATATTGAATAATTACATTCAAAATCATTGACCAATCAGGTTGCAAAATAGACCAGCAGAAGCCAGGGCCTTTTTCGCTGACCATCCAACCGCGGAAGCAAAAAGCCCTGGGTACGAGGTTGATATATACCGAAGGTGATACTAATCTAAGATGTAGCGATCTAAGACGAGATTGGTGTCTTACGTACAGCATGTACATCCCTTCCCATGCATTTAAATTATACGTATAGGTTGCATGGAATGTGCCCCAGGCCATGCACAGGACTTTTGGATTTTTTTAAGGCAAAATGCTTTGATTTTCGGGACTTGGTTTTGAAAGGAATTTCGCGGGGTTTGAGATTATATGGCAATTTTGAGAGATTTTTCGACAAATTTTGCCAGGATTTTTTAAAAAGATTTTTGTGTTTTCTTTGGTGAAGCATACTAAGATTTTTGCGGTAATTTTGTGATTAACTAGTTGCATATCAGTATATTTTTATTTTTATGATTTAGATCAGAAAGGAAACAATTTTGTTTTCAGTGTCTTCATGCAATGCACCTATAGGGTATAGTTTATTTGATTTTGTGATAACCTTATTGTTTGCATCTTCAAATGTATAAGTGAGGAAACGAGCACAAGAATCTGTAATATCTTTATCTGTAACAACAAAAATGACATAAAACAGCACCTAACCTGCACCAGCACCTAACCCCAGCACCTAACCTGCGAACGGGCATACTCTGTGTACGAGATTGGTGTCTTACAGCATGTACATCGCTTCCCATGCATTTAAATTATACGTATAGGTTGCATGGAATCGGCAGGCCATGAACAGGCCCCACTCAAAATCACGGTTTGTGAGCAGGGTACCCTGATAAAATATTGCAAATATTGTCATAATGAAGTTATACTTTGAGAGATTGCGACGTTTTCAAATTTGAGATTAGCATGTGCATTTGCGTGACTGACACAACTTTTCGCCTGCGAAATTAAAGTTGAAAGATATTTTAAATTATTATACATTGTAGTTGGTAAAAGCAATTTGATTGGCTAAGAGCTTACAGTTAAATCGCGCAATCACGCAACCTACACAAAATCCAGTTATCTGCTAGCAGATAACTGAGTTATCTGCAAATGAGCCTGCGATGATTAGCAAGCGGTATCTATTTCACACAAACAAAGGAAAACTAGCAAAGCAAAATTTTGAACAAACGTCAGTAGAAAAAATGTGAATATGGATAGGTTTTCATAAATAAAGTTTTTCATGGATTAATACTATGTTTATTATTCTTCGAATGTATAATAAAACAATTATTGAATTCGGCTTTTGTGATACGCGGAATTACCAAGGTCTCGGTAAGCGTTATCAGCCTCGCCTTCGGCTCGGCTGATAATGCTAATTATCTCGACCTTGATAATTCCGCATATCACAAAAACCTCATCCAATAATTGTTAATTATTATACATTTAATATGTATTCTCGTTTCTAATTGGTCAGAAAGCACCAGCTAATTTTCAGTATTCGGCATTTATTACGTATTTTCCGCCGATGACGTCATCAGCGTCCAATAATTGTTTTTTTGGATCGAACCGACCTCGGTCTGAATAATTCTTGATATCATGCTCAGCCTCATCCAATAATTGCTTATTATCTTGCTGTCAAATCATTTCCCATTAGTATAGGTAATTACTCGGTTCGAGAAGTATTAACCGAAAAATCGCACGCGTGTTTGGCGAAACATTTATAATACCGCGAGTGCACACACAAGTGTGATTTTTTCATTTGTACTTCGAGAACAAGTGTAATTTCCTATTAATATCATTTTATAGTCAATTTTACACAAGCAATCAATGATAAGAAATATTATAGTAATGTGGTCAAGCGAGCACAGCCACACGCGCCTTTGTCAATTTTGAGAGTAATTTCTGACATTAATTTTCAATTCATACCTGTAAAAAACTGCGAATAATCTTTATTTCATCTTTATTTTTAATATATAATATTTGCAAAATAAGAGTTCAGAAAAAAACCCTTCAAGTTGCTTATTCAGATTTTGACACAGTTTTGTGTTTAATCCACGTGGGCTCGTATGACATGCACGACATGCCGATTAATCTTTAATACATACGCACACAAAATCTTGATTTTTAACCAGTTTAAATGAAGTTTGTTAAATTTAGTTTTGGTGAATCAATAATTCATGAATGATTTGACTCGGACGTTATTTGAAATGTCGTGACTCTGATTTGCTATTTAACATCATTTTAGTCAATTTATTCGATTCTAATTGGTTAAAAACCGTGGAATTAAATATTAATACACGCAGGGGATCTCTTTCGATAGAACTGGATATAAATGGAATTTTAAGTAGATGGAATTTTCTAACGAAAATTTATATTCAATTTTGGTCTAACGTGGGGCAGCTGTGAAAAATGCAGATCATTTGGGCCTTCCGGCAGGGATTGAACTCTGGTCCCTCTTGCGGTCCTGCGATTCCGGTGCAGCGTTCTGAGTGTCCAGTTGATAAATATCAAGATTAAAATTGCCAATGAGTATCTCGTTCGATAGAACATCTTTGTCAATCTGAAACTTTCTTATTATTAGGACTACCTACACTGGCACAACCCGTTCAAGCTGCCGGATAGCGCTATCAACCAGACAAAGATATTTTTACCAGCTATGTGAAAATACTCGAAAAACAATAGTAATAAAACTACGAATGTGGATCTCAAAATTAATAAAAAGAAACTTTACTGACGTTTAACCTAGCGATTAAATTTCGATAGCGTTATCCGGCCTTCGTACAACCGGCCCCAGATGAATTGTACCATCGGTCTTGCGTCATTGCACTGATCGCAGTCTTCAGTCAAGGCTAGTTTCCATTTAGGAAAATTATCCGTGGATTGGAACGGACAAGAAAATTTTTCTTTGTGTTAAAGTCATTAGTTCCAACCCAGAGCTCACCGCAAGACAAAGAAAAATTTTCTTGTCCGTTCCAATCCACGGATAATTTTCGTGAGTGGAAACTAGCCTTCAGTAGATAAAACGGTACGTCAGCTACAGTAGGTTGGGTTACTTTTACAGCATGGAAAATTGTGACAAGATGTGTAAATCAGATTTATTGCATTTTTCTACATTGTATATAGGTAGAGGTATAACTCCTGTCTCAAATATCTGAAGCTTTTGTGTATTAAATTTTGGATTTTCGTTTTTCAATTGCGTAGGTATGCAGAAAATAAATTTTTCCGGTGGTGAACCGTTCATCGAAGGTCGCCAGGGGAAATTTGTTGGTGAAATGGTCCGATATTGTAAACACGAACTTGGGCTGAGTGTAAGCATTGTATCGAATGGAAGTTTGATTAAAGAACAGTGGTTTAAGGATTATGGTAAGTATATATTGTTGTTGAACAGCGTGTTTTCAGTGGCCGGTTGAACAAAGCCCATCAGATATCGCTATCCACCAAATAGTGAATTTTTCAACTGTTCTAAAATGTTTTAAAAGCTATAAAATTATGGATATGGATCTTGCAATTAAGAAAAAAAACTTTAATTTACCTAAAGTTTATTCTGGGTTATATAGCCCACGCGTCATCTCTATTCAAAGTATGTGTTGTTTTTCCATGCAATTGTACAATATGCTTCGTTTGATAGACGTCAACGGCCAATCCGATTTCCCCTTTGGTGTTCTTTTAAACGTGTACCAGAATGAGTGTGAACTGCAGGGACCGCGGAAGCGGGGTGGAGCCCCCCCCCCCCAACAATTTTCATGATACTGGACGCATATACCCTTTCATGCTTGGTTTGGGTAATTGGTACACTACACAGTTACTGTCGTTCCAATTGAAGTGTTCCTCAAATATTGATTCAATACATTACCTCGGGCTGACCAATTCATACGAATTCAAATTTCCTTTTACTTCCTGTGCGTTTCCTATTTGGTCAATCGGTTCTGAAACGAAATCTAATTGGCTCATTTAAAAGTAACAGGAAGTTGATCAATTTTCTATCAAATGAATTGGTCAGCCCGAGGTAATGTATTGAATCAATATTTGAGGAACAGTTCAATTGGAACGACAGTAATACTAAATCGTTCCATGCTCAGCTGGCTATACTATCATCGCATACAAGGTCAAGGTTGAAATATATTTCTCCTGGCTTAACTAAAATTATTAGTTTAGAAAGGTCAAACATATTAGTTTTGAAAATGTTTTGAACCTTAGCTCGAAACGTCGAGTTCTTTTTGTATTTATCAGTGTCGCAGTTTAATTGAAGCGTGCCTACGTGATTTTTAAAGCAGAATAACGCCGGACTTGACCATATATTTCTTTAAAATTTTTGCTATATTACATATTTCTTGCATTTTCGACTATTATCTTGCATATTTCGTGCTTTTCAACTTATTTCCCCCATCTTTTTGCGGAACTTACACTTAAAATTTGTCCAACTTCAATTTCTCTGAGGGGGCAGCTTCCCCCCCCCCCACCCGCCCCCGCGTCGTACGTTTATGGCTATTAGACGTCAGTTTCAATCTCTTTCTATTTTTTTTTTGTCTCGCGGTCTGCAAGGAGTGTGCCCAAATTTCGTACTATATATATTTTGAATTCAATTCAATTTAATTCAAGGAATTTATGGTTTTTTAAAAACTAATAACCAGATTAGCGATACAGTCCGTTAGAAAAAGTTGGAATTACCTGGGGAAAATGGTATTAAAACTGTTCACAGCCGGCTTCATATATGACTGCAGTTCTTGCACCAGATATATCAAAGTTAATAGAAAACAAACATGGTTTGGAAAGCCGGCAGATTTCAAAGTGATTAACAATCGTTATACAATTTATGTTGGAAAGGACATGAAGGTGCACAATTCGTTTGTCTTAGGTTTATTAATATTCAAATATATGCCTAAACGACTGGACCCAAACGTTGCTATTGGATGATTGAACTCTCTCTCTCACTCTCAAGGTGAATTGAGAGCCTGCATCGATGACTAATGAATTTGAATATCTGCCCCGTAACGTTCGTTTTTCCAAATATGGAATGTCTATCCTTATATGGTGTTGTTTACAACTTTCGTGCAAACTAAATTTTAATAGACCGTGCAAACTAAATTTAGACCGTACAGTTTATACTGTTTTTCGAAATATAAGATATTCAAGCAAAAGTTTAAATGTTTTAAATACTGTTTTCTCAAAACAGAACATTTCGTGCTTTGAGATAAGATGGCCAAGACCAATTTGATCAGTTAATGTTTTTTATGCATATAGTGCTTCAGTAGTTGACATATACAGAACTCAGTGGAAACATATAAATTATAGCATCTGATCAATGAGAATTTCGCGTCACGATTTGAGACGCAGATATTCAAATTCATTAGTCATCGATGCAGGCTCTCAATTCACCTTGAGAGCCTGTTCGCAGACTAGCATGTTGTCAGCCATCATGTTTTTATATTTTGCCTAATTCACTGGGATTTTGGTGATGTCACAAAAGGGCAAACCTGTTAAGACTACTATTCGTGTGCCTGAATTTCAAGAGACTTTTTATTTTAAAAAAAACCTGAAAAAGATAAGTGATTGGCAGAATAAAAAACTCTCTTTACCCCCATGATGCTATAAAGAACCAAGACGGCGGACTGAACATTGTTTTTGGTCGAAATATTTCGTAAACTAAATATGCTACAGAAAAGTTGTAAAGGCTCTTTATATATAATTTTTAAAATTCGCTTTTTTAGCCGAGGCAGACGTGCATAAAGGTAATAATATTATCTTTACCCGAATCACAAGCACATCACTATAAACCCTATTGTGCGCAAAACATGAGGATATAACCCATAATTGTCAATGATTGTTGGGTTTTTACATTGTATAGTCCAGATGCCTTCCTTGATGATGGTGCTAGTGTCGTTGAATAAATCTTTAAACTGAACTAAACAAAATAAAAATAAACGATCGGGCAATATAGTGCTATAAACGCTAATGTTTATTCTGGCTTTTATACAGGTGAGTACTTAGACATTCTGGCAATATCCTGTGACAGTTTTGACGAGGAAGTCAATATAAAGATTGGTCGCCATCATCCTAAGCAACGACATTTGGATATCTTAAGACGAGTTCGTGATTGGTGCACTAAATATCACGTGGCGTTTAAAATAAACACTGTTGTGAATTCTTATAATAAAGATGAAGATATGTCCGAAGCAATTACAGAGTTGAATCCCATAAGATGGAAGGTTGGTCATACTAAGTTTTGTTTAATTTTGAGTGCATTTTATTAACATTTTGAAGAAGTTATTTTTCCCCGGAAGGACTTACCTGAAGAGGAAATATGGTTCTCCATGAGGAAATATGGTTCTCCATGAGCAATGATGAGCTCCTTCAAAGACTGGCACGAGCAATACTCGTGCATCCAGTTCGCGGCGCGCGAGGGCTTGGACGCAGGGAGCTTATATGCTGTAGTATAAAAGCGCTCTGCTCGGAACTCGCGATATTTATATGCAGTGCATGCATGGGCAATAACATCCTCTGAGTGAGTGACAAGCTGAGTATTGATTAAAAGGCAATCTCCGATGAAAAGCTTTATTAGTGTTCAAAGCCTAAAATCTCTTTGGCGTTCCTCTCAAAATTACTTTGTTTTAGCCTTATTTTGTAGTTTCCACAGTTAGCAACCTTTTTAGCTGTATCTGGCGGTTGAGAAACACAAAATAATAGTTAAATCAGTTGTCAATTTAAAATACAATTATCATTGATGTCGTAAAATTGACTGCATATTTATACAGATAGATAGATAGATAGATAGATAGATAGATAGATTGATTGATTGATTGATTGATTGATTGATTGATTGATTGATTGATTGATTGATTGATTGATTGAAATTTTTATTTAACCACGGTGGTTTTATCAATTGTAGATATGACATATTTACATTTGTTCTTCCTAAAAGCCGTGTATCTTAATATTTCAATATAAAACTATATACAGAAAACATATTCTAGTTGGCACAGAATATAGTCGAGTCTAACATTTTTACAAATATTTTAAATGATGGTGCGTTTTTTATCTCATCCGGAAGAGAATTCCATAATTTAGCACCAGTGAAGGCAAAACTTGAATTGTAATACAGTGTTCGATTTTTTGGAAGTTCAAAGGTTATTTTAGACCTTCTGAGATTATATATATCCAAAGCAGGGGCGCCGGAGCCACGGGGGCAGCGGGGGCAGCTGCCCCCGTTGCCTAAAGAGTGCGGGGGCAGCACGGGGGCAGCAGGTTGCCTTTTTTATCAGAACTGCACCTCGAACGTCGTGCGTTTTTCACATGAAATGAAATTGAAAACTGTTTTTAAACAATTTAGCTCCTATTTAAATATGAATTCCTCTCAGAAACGTTACCAATATTATCTGCTTTACCAATGCCTATCTGAGCTTCAAGAAATCCAAAATTTTCTGGGTGGGGGCATGGCCCCAAACCCCTCTAGAGGCTCCCATCTTTGGTGGTCGACTTGGTTGTCTCAGAATCCTAGGTATGGCCTGATTTGCTGCCTTATGGCGCATATTTATATGTTAGTTAAACCATGCATGTATATGCTGCAGGTAGCTGCAGCGACACCATATTTCTATAAGCGACACAGACTTGCCGACTGGAACTTCTCCAGGTCCCCCGCTAAATATGTCATCTCCAGATACACATCCTGCAGCCCCCCCCCCCCCCCC